CAATGAATCTACTAAGATAACGTTGTTGGGGGACTTTTCTTTCGTATGAAAGTGTATGAGGAAGAGATTAGTAGGCCGATCTGTCACGTTTACAATCCGACTCTGAAAATTATTATGCATAATATTGATTTGGGACTAGGTGCGTTCCCCTAGGTCTTTCTAGCAAGTTGCGAAAAAAAGGTCAAACAACTTCTATACAACGAAAGGAGGCTGCAATCATACAAAAGGCTTCACCATCGTGGTCTTCATGCCTTCGATTTTTCTGCTTTTTTGAAGTCCACTTCTATGATTTAAAGCAATAAGTTTCCTATTGGCTCCCTCCCTCATTTCGGATGTAACCCAGCTCTGATGATGTCCATCATATGATGGACGAAAGCTCAGCACGTTTTCACCGGAAACGAGGGAGCTGCGTCAACATGAATATAATATAAAAGCTAAAAGGCTGCAGTACAACGATTTTCATCCGTCTACTCGTCGACTGCGTCAACATGAATATAATATAAAAGCTAAAAGGTTGCAGTACACGATTTTCATCCGTCCTCATCTGGTGAGAACGACAAACGAATCTCTTCACCATGTACTTTCATTCGAAATAAAGTTCCCCCTAGTAGAGTTAATTAAGCCAAAAGAAAATTAAAAACCTAGATAGATAGATATAAAGTGGTTTTTCTGATTATCTTTCATACTGGTCCTGCTACTTTTGCTCGAGTGTGTGTGTGTGTGTATGTGTGAATGCTAGCGTATATACGCAATATTGGTCCTAAATCAGAGTCATCAAAAGGTTAATGTCAAGGCCTAATGACCTAAGAGAAAGCCCTGAACGAGACTGCGTAAGTCCATAGGCACGTATGGTTAAAATAATGAGATATGAGCTTCTAAGCATGTAAGTCAAGTTACGAAACCACTTGTCCTAACCTCAGCCGTTTCAACTCTTTAGTAAAATGTTTGCTATCCGCTAGCCTCAAACTCCTAATAATCATTGACTTAAAAATTCCAACCTTAGTCTTGTAACTATGATTGGAAAGAGAATTAAGCAAAGAGCCAACATATGTTGGCTTCCTATCAACATCTTTTCCTAACTTACCCTCTTCTCCTTGAACAGGAATATTTGTGTACATAGACACAACATCAAAACTTACTAGCCTATCCTCTTCTGAAAGTGTCTGCTGCCAATCAATTTCACAAAATCTTACCAATTTTTAACCGAATATAGCCAAAAATTGGCAGAGTTCCTTAGTTGTATGCATAAAAATCTGAGACCTTATGCATCATGCTTCCTTTATTATTTTCAATTAATCTTAGAGTGACACCTTCCTTTTGAACCTTAGGGAGACCGTAAACTGTGGGGGCCCTTGCATCTCTCTGGAATAGTGAATTCATTTTCCACTTCTCTTTTTCACCATTACTTACGCATACCTTAAGGGCATCCTTTAGCCTAGTCTTAAGTCTTTCTGTTGGATCTCTCAGTAAAGTCCTATACGTGTCATTTAAATGAACTAGCATTTTTCTACATAACTTGACTTATCCATGACTACCGCGATTAAATTACTACCACAAAGATATCTAGAAACCCTACTAAGATGACAATCTTTATTTGGCGCTATTATATGGTCAAAATGAGGGATAACCTCCAGTTCAATACTATTGCTTACCTTTATTTTTTAAATTAAATATTGTTTTCGTGACTACCAGTAAATCAGTAATATTAGATGTATTCACCTAATTTCGTTTAAGGTAATGAAGGACTGGTAGAAGAAGGATTTTTCTACAAAGCTCAACTCATATCATTATGGGAAAATTCTTCTACCAGTCCTTCATCACCTTAAACGAAATTGGATGAATACATTTCATATTAATACTTACCTCTTCAGGCTATCTATTGGATAGGCTAATTAATTCAAAAAGTATTTCCAGAGAATGCTTTACCTCATTTGGAAGAGCAAAATTAAATCCTCTTGTAGAATTGAGTTGACCTAGTTGTCGCAACTTGGTCCATACCAGAGGCCGCAACATCTTGGTCTTCATAGATTCAATCGTTTTTCCAATAAAAGTATTACATTATCCTCCAGAGTTGTACTAGATAAATTGATTACCTTATCCTTCCCCACTTTTCTACAAGCGTGGATAGTACGACTTACCTTAGGTGCAGAGTTTCTTGACCTAATTCTAATTCTTGAATTCCGGAGCTTCTTATCATGTATCCGACGCGTAGTTCTGTCAGTCGCCTCTCATAACCCGTCAGAAATGCCTTATAACTTAATGGAATCAACGTCATTGAATATTTCAGAAAGGGATTGCCTAAGCCTAGTTTCGGTTCAAATTAGTTCGTATAGTTTGTTGATGCTTTCCTTGAGCCTAGTTTTAACCAAACCACACGATACCTAATCAAGTTCCTTATATGTGGACGTCGGCAAATTAAAACGCCTACCGAGTAAATAACACATATGAACAACATTATGAGAAATACACATTTAAAAATATCTAATTCTATTAACTTGCCGGGATATAGTTTTCTTGATTATAGTGTAAAGATAAGACAAATGACAAGAAGTCGAATCGTACCTACGAAGAGAAACTGGGTTTCCATTACTCTCCTAAAATAACATTGCTAGTGGGACTTTCATTTCTTATGAAAGATAAGAGAGCCTATTAAAATTAATAGCTTATGAAATAGGTTAAATGTGAGGAATGGTGGTAGAAGTTAAGTAGGAATTACTTATACTTAATTGAGAGATTGAAGGAGACGGTGTTGAGTCGCAGTCAAAAAGAAGGCGAATAATTTTGTCTGCTCGGTGATGTTTCTAACTTTACTCAAACTCGTCCAACATGTCAGATTAATAGAAGTGGGTTAAACTCGTTGTCGCAACTTGGTCTTGTTGTCAGGACGACTTAGTGTAACGTCCAACTTTTCTTCACCTATATTAGTAGAAGGCACCTAGTCCGAAGTCGTCCCCCATAGTAGTTGTCATGATTCCCAGCATCAGACAGTGGACTTGTAACATTCTCAAACGTTTCGCCGGCATCGTAGTCAGCATGATCAGTGATTTTTGCCATTCTCCGCACCAGGCTACTAGCTCGTCAATGAGACAAGTGAAGTCAATCCCTCGACAAACGTTCTGCCTAAAACGGTTACGTTATCACTACTCTTTCTGTTCTGGCCTATTTATCTACTATTTATCCTCATATCCCATTGCCGCCCTATCATAACTTATCACTTATTTACATTCCACTCGTCAAAATGTGTGCCCTTTTGTGGCAAATCTAGTGTGGCCTCATCACACTTGCTATTTACCTGGATCGCTCTCTTTTGATAAACTGATCCAACTCGGGCCTCCAATCCGGATCCACTCATTGCTACCTAGATTCGTTCCTTATCTTTCTGGTTAACCAATTTCACTCGGTTACAGTCTCTGTGTGCATTTAACTCCAGGGCGGCAGTGGGATAAGAGGGTAAAGAGTAGATAGATAGGCCAGGATAGAAAGAGGAGTGATATTGTAACCGTTTACTGCAGAACGTTTGTCGAGGGATTGCCTTCACTTGACTTTTTGACGAGTTTTTAGCTTGGTGCGGAGAATGGCAAAACTTACTGATGATGCCGACTACGATGCCGGCGAAACGTTTGAGAATGTACCAAATTCACTGTCTGATGCTGGGAATCATGACAACTACTATGGCAGACGACTTCGGTCTAGGTGCGTTCTACTAATTCCCCCTCACACCAAGACCAAGTTGCGACAACGATGTCAGTCCACATCTATACATCTAAAGGAGACTGCGACCATACCAGAGGCCACAACATCTTGATCCTCTTATCTTCAATTAAACTAAGGTA